GTCTTTTTTAATTATTGTACATGTAATACAGTATTCAATGAATACGCATATAATATATCATTGTAAAAGTTATGTATTAACCATTTTTGTAACCATAGGAGCTTCAAATACGCAACCCCAACTTCCAATATGTATATAATTGTGTATTGTTATAAATGAGGACAACTAGTGAGGGTCAAGGACTTGGTTAGTCAAAGATGCTGTTGATTCTCATTCACAATGTTATTTAATTATTCTCAATTTAATTCATATAAAACTTGTTTATATTACTTTCATGCATAATTAGATAATCTATAAACATTATGGAAATACGTTGGATTATGCTAGGAAGAAGAATACTTACTAACTAATAAGTATAAATATTCAGGAAATAGTATTATTAAAAATAATAAAAAATCCAAGGTCAGTCCTCGCCCACATAAGTGTAGTCGGAATAATTTTATGGTATTTACTTTTTGTTTAATTGAATGATTCATTTGGGATTTTTTGTTATTTCTCATATCGCACCATCCACGTAAATGACCATTAGGACATCAAGGACGTCGCATGTCGATTCAGTCTTCCTGGTTTATCAAAAGATAAATTAAATTAATGATTTACCGATAGGTTATGTGGGTAATTGTTAACTCAGACCGACAATGTCAAGTGATTAACTAGCGAATTGAAAATTCAGCGCCTATTTGTCAGCGGCCATTAGGGTATTCTTAATTTTATACGTATAAATATCGGCACGTCCAAATTGGTCTCGAAATATCCAAGTTGGTTCCCGGATTGTTACAAAGGGTAGATTCGAATTAGTTCCCGGGTCGTTAAAAATTGTAATTTTTTTCACAAATGTAATTTTCATTTTTTATCACAAAATATAAAATAAATATTAAATAATAATCAAAATGATATCTTATTCATCCATTTTTTTTTTAATTACAAAGCACAAAATAAATAATAATAAAAATAGTAACATTTTTTAATTCGTCCATTTCTTTTTTTTTATAAGTTACATCGTTACATGTATTATTGAGGAAAAATGTATAGCAACAATTTTTTATAAATTTTAATTCATTAATTTGATTATTTTTATATTTATTCATTTCTGTTTTTATAAATATTTCCTTATTTTTAGACTTAATTACTTAAGGTTCTGAAGTTTGCTGTACTTTGCAGTTTCATAATAATATTATGATATATACATATTATATTATTATGTATTTATAATGATGGGAAATATGGTATAATAATATTAAATTGTAGTTTTTCACCTTTTTGAAAGTCTTTATTGGGAACCAATTCGGATGCAGCCATATGGCACCGATTTTTCGGGCATTATAAGTTTAATATCTTCGATGCTTAATACCTTGAAAATATTTATCGAATCAAACTATAATGATTGATTTAACCCAGGTTTTAAACCAATTAGCGTTATTACAATAATCAAAATTAGCAATTCATCAATGCTTATCGAAAATATTTTGTTAAATTTTATTTAATCACTTAAATTTATGACAATTTTCAAACACTTGATCTTAATAGGTATGTAAAATGTTAATTTAAAAAAATAAACTAATACAAAAAAAGTAGTAATATCTACGAATCTAATTCGAGGGGGCTGTAACTCAGGGTATGACTGTGGGTATGACTCAAAAACTAATAACCGTATAGACTTACTAACTTGAAATTTTCACTGAGAGAAAAACCTTAAAAATGTCATGTAAGGTTCCTTATAAGTTTCATTAATGGACTTTCTAWACTATATAGGCATAATTATTTTTATATGCACTTAAAGTTCAAATTTTGACAATATTCATCGAAATTTCGAAAATTTTTAAATTAATTATAAGTAAGAAAATCATTTGAATTTTTTTTTTAATGCTTAAATTAGGAATTTTATAAGAAGATTCCCCACAAATTATCCTACTTAAAAAAAAAAAACTTACTGGTAAATTTATACTATTTATAGCAAAGAGATATTTTTGATTTTTATTAATTCTACATGAAAACTTATAAATCTTTTTAAGGTTTTTAGTATATTTTTTTTTTATATTAACATTTGATATATGGCACGTCAGGTATAATTATTACTATAATACATTTATGACGGAATATATGTCCAGATGAGTTGAATTGTGTTATGAATTATAATTAAAWAACCTAACCATATTATATATACCTACCTACCTACCTAATGGTAAATTAGTTCCAATATTAAACATCATCAATTTATAASTTAAAGTATGTAAGACTTTTTCGTGTTGAATAGATATTCATTTTTTTTTTTGAAAAAATTTGCAACTAATAATTACCAGAATAAAAAACGATATTTTTGAATATCTTAAGTATCTTTTAGATTCTGAGCGGAGCGATGAATGTATTGATTTTACCATGATGTGTGTTTTTATTTTTTTATTTTTTTTTTTGTGTCTGTCATCACGTTTTGGGGCAGTAAAAGTGCTTCGATTTTTGACTTCATTACCTCGTTCGATCAGAAAGTGAATCTACTTGGTACTTTGGGCGGTCAAAAGTAAAAATTCTTAATACTTTTCTAAATAATCGAGAAAAACAAACTAAAAAATAAGGGAAAAACGGGAAATTTTACGCACACTCAGTTTTCGACAAAATCGATTTTGGTTTTTGATGTAACTTTAAAACAAATGACCATAAATACATGACATTTTCACCGAATATAAGTATTTTCTATTCACCATGCAATTTTAAAAAAGTTTCGACTTAAGTTGATTTATTCATAGGCATATGCAATTTATCATTATTAGTTTTTTTTWAAATTAATATCAATATAAATTTATGTGTTGGGTAAAAAGCTTGAAAATTTAATACACGGTTCCTACCATATTGTTACAATATAGCAGTTAAAAATTAAAGAAATTCATAGACACAATTTTTTTTTATAAGCATTCAAAGTTGGAATTTTGAAATTGTTTTTTTAAATCTAAGATTTGAAAATTTAATACAAGGTTCCTTACAAGTTTTCAATCTTTATCACAAAAAAAAATGTCCACCGGAATTCAAATTAAATTTTTATGAGCATTTGAAATTTAAATTTTTCAATATTTGATTTTCACTGGATTTCACGCGTTTAGCGATTTTCTTATTTTGGTGTAACTCTAGAAAACAAATGACCGCAGATACTTAAAATTTTCACTGAATGATTATATATGCATTTTCTATATTTTATAAAATTTTCAAAATATTTTGATTATTTTTTAGCTGTTTACGGACATTTTAATTTTTCAACTTTTTTAGTTTTTTTTTTCTATAAATATCGGTAAAAATGTATTAGTTGGGTAGAAAAGCTTGAAAATTTAATATAAGGCTTCTAACACATTGTAAAAATAACAGTTGAAAATTATTAAAAATACATAAGCACGATTTTTTTTTTTATAGGCATTTAAAATTCAAATTTTGACTAAATACGTAAAAATCACGAAAATTCGCAATTTATTTTATGCTAGAAATTCATAAAAGTTTTTCTTTTTAAATCTAAGATTTTAAAATTTTTAATAATCTATAATATATCCTAGACAGATAAACCGTYTTMGYTCAGAATCGTTTTTCGTATACAATGATATAATAGCATTGGATTCAAATTTAATTCCATCCATTCAGTAACCCACTTGTACACCTAGCTACTGTACAGCAGAGCGACATCCATTTTCCTGCTTTTTAACATTATAATTTTATAAAAATATTCTATAGTTATTTAGAAAAATAATATTGTATATAATTCACCTTATACGAACCATTTTAAATATGTAACAAATAATATACAATATCATGAAATCATGAATAACCATATTTTAAACAAATTTTAAAATTTTAAAAACTTACGACTTTTTTTAAAAAATAACTAATTTATGAGGTCATAGACTGCATTGAGCATTAGAAATTATAATGACAATCAATTACTATACATTTAAATTATTTAAGAAAACAAAAGATGACCCTGGGTACTATACGCATAAAATATTAATTCAAATATATTTTCATTTGAAATCGATTTAATCAAAAATTATAGTTTTTTTAAATTTTCAACTATATAAAARGGGATAGTTGGATAGTTATTGGTGACCGCGTGGTGGGTTTTATTTTTATTAGTTATTTTATTTAATCAAAATCAACACTATTGGTAAATAATTTTAAACTCACTGCCTATTAGTAATTGAATACCTACATTAAAAATTATGATTAGAGGTAGGTAAAGGTGGATAGGTCTATTGYCTTAAACGGCTGTAATTCTTGATAATTTACAACAATATTAAATTTACAAAGTTCTATCCAAATTATTACTATAGATACAACAATATTATKGACAGGCGATGCTATTGACCTGAGAAACTAAGATTTTGGAATATAATAGATACCGGTAGGTATATATGTATGAATGTATGATATATTATAGACTACAGGTTTACAGATGAGGTACCTCGTACCTATAATACTGTAATAAGAAAAATAATGAGAAAATACAAATAATTAACACTGCATTAAAGAATAYGTACGTAAGGACATATTATACATGTTTGAAAACTTATGATAACCAATGTAGTAGTGTATAATATAATTGTGTATAATTGTACATAATTGTATTTATTTTTTTTTTACTAGACATACAAAATTCATACCTACCTATTTATTCGTAATTATATATTATTATAGCCTACTTTTTAAAAGTATTAATAGGTATTATACCTATGTTATAAAATTTAACATTTAATTTAATACGATCATGACGTCAAATATTATATTTTTGAGTATTATACCTATGTTATAAAATTTAACATTTAATTTAATACGATCATGACGTCAAATATTATATTTTTGATGTATTTTAAAATAATGACAACGACCGGTTTGCGAATCGTAAACAATATGCTGCCAATAGTATGTGTTGTAACAAAGTAACATACCTACTACCTCATCATTATCCTTGAGCATCGAAACAACTTCAATTGTAATTTGGTGGGAACACTATAAAATGGCGTGTTCATGTCTTGTTATGTTACAGTTTTCATTTTCATTCGGCGGCAGTATAACGTGCAAGTCTAGCTAGATCTAGGAGACTTCGACACGAGAGTAAAATACCTATAGGAATTAAAACATGTCTCTATCACAGAAAATGTTTGCCTGCAGTGGCTTTATGCTCGTCGTCGTGCTAGCGGTGTTCACACGAGCCATACCCGTCCCGGTACCCGAAGAAGCGCAACCAGGTAAAGTATATTATTTTGTATAAAATGTATGCGTTTCTAAATATTATCATAAAACACTAGATATTATTCTAATAACGTTTAATAGAAAAAATACCAGAAATATAGTGTAAATGKTTTACGCGAATAACCACAATATTCATATTTTTCATAACATTATATTACAAATTTACAAATTAAAATAAATCAATATAATTTTTTAATTTACTTAATTATTCAATTACGCCAGCTACTCGTATATACATTTTATACTATACAAACAATTAAAAATAAAATGTTGTTATACATAACAGCAAATACAAATTAGATATGCAATTCGCCAATTTTAAAGTTGTAGTTATAGACACCTATATATAATTGTTACAATCTACAGTASGCTAGTAGGCACCTCTTATTCAAATGTTAACATCCATACTATATAAAAAAAAAGTGTTTATATTTATTGTAACTCATGACCCATGGGTTATGTCCAATACATCCGATTTTTTTTTTAATTTATAAAAAATCATAATTTCACATGAATAGGTTTAAATAAATGATTYWCAGAATTTATTTTAAAATTAATACTTTAAAAATGTTTTTGTTGTCGACTGTCTAAAAATCAAAAATATATTATAATTAGTAAAATAATTTACATCAAAAAATAAACGGACAACTTCCTTTTTTTGATTGTTACATTGATTAAATATTTAAATAATAAAATACAGTAATAGGTATACAATACCTATTTGTATTACATATTCATTTTTTAATTTTTTTTTTTATTGGGGGTTGAGGCTTCGACAACAAGGGCCATTAGCCTGTGGAACTGTCTGGGAGGGAACTGTTGGTTTTAGTACTCTTAGATGTTTTTGGCAGAATTTCGAATGGGGCACCCGTATAAGTTTCTGCCATGCCCGGGGTAGGTTACATATCATTTGGGTGAAATTTACAAGGACACCTAATTTATCCAATACATCGTTTGGGTGAGCTATAAATATATATTTATAAACATTTGTATAGACTAATAGGTTTTCCTTC